TTTTTTTTTTTTTTTTCGAAGTCGCGTTTTAGTTGGGAGTTCGCCAAAATTGATTAAGTTAGATGACAAACAAACACGTCACTACAAGTTGTCAATATATTATTGACTTTATTATTTTTAATTTATCATACAAACAAAGAGCTACAATATATATTTTTTGAAATGATAGATGATATATATAACAAACGCATAAAAGTGCAAAGATACAATTCGAAGTTGAATAACACAACCCTACGCTGAGAAAACTGAGAGGACAGGTCTGACGACCACCTAGAACTCCGACGCTAGCAAAAGCTAGAAACCAAAATAAGACACTCAAGACAAGAACACGACAAATTTTAAGGGTGCATTTATTGATTCACTAATTTTAAAATCTTTTTTGGATTTCAAGAATTTGATGTATTTATTTAGTTTTTTACAATGAAAATTAATTTAGACATATTCAAGTGATATTTTTGTAACTGGGGGAAAAGGAAAGCCCATATGAAACCCAAATGAGGTTCCATCCCAAAACCAATTGGTGAAAGGAGGAGTAGCCCATTAAACTTATTAAGTGGGTCTATTTTCCATGTATTAATAATGTGGGACAACTCACAAGTGATATTCTAACACGCCCCTCACTTGTGAGTCTGATATCATGTCTCTAACCCAGGCACAAAGTGGGCTCTGATATCATGTCTGTAACCCAGACACAAAGTAGGTCGGGCTCTGATATCATGTCTCTAACCCAGACACAAAGTGGGCTCTGATACCATGTAAGAAAGGAAAAGCTCATATGAAGCCCAAGTGGGGTTCCATCCCAAAACCAATTGGTGATGGGAGGAGTAGCCCACTAGACTTATAAAGTAGGCTCATTTACCCTATCAAATCAATGTGGGACAACTCACAAGTGACATTCCAACACGCCCCCTCACTTGTGAGTCCTTCATCAGCCCACGCCTCCAACTAGGCTGGGTATATTTTTTAGCCCACGCCTACAACCAGGCCGTGTAGTTTTTTTTTTTTTCATAGCAGGTCCCAAATTAGGCCCGCTCTGATACGACGTTCAATTTATTTAAATTACCACTCAAATTCGTTCAAACTTTTAAAATTTATTGAAATATTAGATACAAAAGAATATGAACGAAATCGCTACCACCAAAACTCATTCTAAACTTCAAATTTCTAGAGATTTTATTTAAATGAAAAAATCTTAATTTCTAGAGATTTTATTTAAATGAAAAAAACTTATTTTTTTCAAAGAAACTTCAACTCAGATCAAGTTGCATTAATAATGCAAGGTGACGGCCAAATTAAGCAATTTTGTTTCCACATAAACAAAGGGATAATAAGTTCAAATAATTGTAAATACCAATTATTATTTTGAGTTGTAAGTGTAGTTCCATTTAAAATTTGTATTTGTTGCTATTTTTATTTAGTATTTAACTTAAAAAAACAATACTATAAATATAACAACCACTACAAAAAAACACTACAATTCCAACAAAAAATTCCAACGGCACTGTTGGAAATTCCAATGAATATTCCAACAAACTTAATTTTATGTTGGAATAAGTGTTAGATAATTGAGTAATTCCAACGGATTTTTTTCCTTGGAATAGCTGTAGGAATTTATTTTCATAGGATTTTCCGTTGGATATTTGCTATTCCAACGGTCGTTTTTCCAACGGATTTTTATACGTAGGAATCTCCGTTGGAATAGTTATTCCAACGAGAATATAAAAAATTCCAACGAAATTTTTCCGTTGGAATGTAAGAGTTTTTTTTGTAGTGAACATCTATACACAATATATATATCACCATATTTGTACCCAAAAATATATATATATATATATATATATCACCATATAATTGAAAAAAGAATCATAAATATTGTTTATAACATCATGACTGAATTTTCATAAATTCTAATATATTATCCACTTGCAAATATGAAACAAGTTTAACTAATTCATAGAAATAATAATAATAATAATAATAATAATAATAATAATAATAATAATAATAATAATAATAATAAATGGCAAGCTTGTGCAGTGGATGATACATAGGAAGCTAAAGTTGACTCACTTGGCAGTTGACATTTTTCTGTACGTCTGCATTACAATATGTCGACTAACCTGGATAAATATCTCTTAATTATTTATTTTATTTATATTTAATTTTTTATTTATTTATTGTGTTATATTTATTGTCTAAGTCAAACATGAGATAAATATATATTGTCTAAGTCAAACATGAGACTTGGCTATAAAAATGGCACGCTGGCTAGCTAGCTAGCTACAAAGGATGATTAAGTTTTTGCATTGTGAAGGTTGAAAAATTCCAAGCTCAAGCAAAAATGGAGGTAATTTATATATTTTGGTATTCATCAATTTCTCTTTTAATTCATGTTTCATAGGTATATATGCTTATACATGTTCTTGAAGCCCTTTTTTTTTTTTTCATCTTTCCATATACATTATGTCTTGAATCAAATTATTTTTTACCTTGATGCAGTCGAGTCAAGTGAAGATAGACGCCGTTAGACGCGAAAACGAACGATTGAAAATTAAAATATCGCAAATGACGAAAGATTGCGACTCTCTGAAGATGCAAATCCACGATCATTCAGCTCGACTCGACCAAATTCACCATCAGCCACGAAAATCCGCGAGCCCTGACGAGCAAGCGGATGACCTCAATATTGCTTTGAGCCTCGGGAGATTTTCCAGTGATTCGACGTTCGCCGAGCGGGAAATTATAGATATCAATCACGAAATTAAAGAAAGTGGAAAGGACCGACCAAGCAATCTCGGAAAACTCGAACTGGGTCTCGACTGCAAGTCTCGCTCACGAGATAGCTTTCTTGACGAACCGAAGGCGGAAGAAAATTACGCGTCCGAGTGCAAAAGCCGAAAAGCTTCACAAAGCGGATGGGAAGATCACGAGATCAATTTGGAAATGAACCCTTTGAAGAGGCCTAGGGTTTCCATTAGGGCTATGTGTGACACCCAAAATGTAAGTCCTAATTAGTACATTAAATGTACTTTTTGAAATGTTTATTATACATTTTGATTAAATTTATTGACTATGTTATAGATTTAAATTTTTAATTATTTGGGATTTTTTTGTAGATGAATGATGGATGCCAATGGAGAAAATATGGACAGAAAATAGCAAAAGGGAACCCATGCCCACGAGCCTATTATCGGTGCACGGTTTCCCCGTCTTGCCCGGTTAGAAAACAGGTGTGTTTATTAATAACTAGTAAAGTACACGTGCGATGCACGTGATACATAATTTATATTTTAATGTGATTTTAAATTTTATTTTCTCTTTTTATGATCTGTTCTACTTTTTGCATTATTATTTTCAATTAACCAAAAACAAGAAGTACATTAATGGACAGTGTTAAATATATTGAAAGTTGAAGTACAATCTTTAAAATAATAATATTTAAAAGTAATAGTGAAAAGGATTGCATGAAAATTTTGGTTGAGAAACCTTCATTATCTAAGTTAGTCTTGTTTATTCGAAATTATTTTTGTTGGGTAAGATGGACAAATATGAACAATAAAACTAAATTAAAATCTTTTACATGAATAATTGCATATGATAGTTTAAAATTCTGTCTTCTTATCTTGTTGAAAGGGATCATTCTTTTTAATTATTTTTATTGACAAAATATTACAGTTATAATTCAATTGACATATGTTAGCAAAGTTTTTAAATATTGTTCATATTATCTTCCCTTTTTCTAGTAAAATAGTTTCCGTATGCTTTATTTTTTTTTTCTACATATGATCAAATTAATTGTATATTTTCATGAGTTATAAATATATATTAAAATTCAATGGTTGAATTTTAGTTTTTTTAATTCAAATACTATTATATTTTTCACGAACTATTACAAACATATGATACACATTCGCTATATGTTCGAATGTCGTCAAAATGATACCTCTTATTGTGACGGTATTTTTTGTGACGACGTAGCGACAAAAATTATCATTACTACAAATGATTATTCTTGTAGTGATACTCTTAAAAGATAATTTAAAAACAATTATTTGATAAATTGTATATTTTTTTTGCTTAAGAAATAAATTGATTTAAATTAAATATTCATAGTATGTATAAATAAGGATAGTTTCAGGTCACATAATTACTGCTAAAATATATGCAATTGAATAGCTTATGTAAATATCAACCAATTAATGTGTAGTAAACCACATAAAATGTATAATCATAAGTTCATAACTACGAAACCTTAAATTTTCTTCAAATGCGTGATGTTGATGAACCATAATATTATAAACTTTGTCGAAGTAAAACATATGCATATAAACTTGGACAAATTTTTGTCTGACATTTGTTACTGAAATAATTTTTTATTCATTCCAACTGTATTTATATATTATATGATATCTTAGGTTAGATGTAATTTCATTTACTTGATAATTTATCATAAAATATATTGATTAAATACTTATTAAGTTAAAATATTAATTCACATAAATTCTTGTATGAGACGAAATATATAGCCATTAAGCGGATTGATCGTTCATATTTTTTCTTAATAAAATTATATACGTCTGCAATAAACCATTAAACTTTATTTATGTTGGCTTTTAAAGTATGACAAATCAATATCAAAACTCATTACTGAAAATCATGAAATTTGAAACATAAAATAGCTATATACAAATTAATAAATATACATATTATAAATCACTAAATATGTAAATGGTTATTAGATACCATTTTATATTTTATTTATATTATATTTCTGTACATCAGAAATTTGAATGTTCAACTTAGGGTGTAATCATGTATTTGTTTAATGAGTGATTAAAAAAAAAATAGTTTATGTTGGAAATAATAGATAACAATGGAGAAAGAGACACTCAACAAAACTCACTTTTTATTTTATTTAATATTTCTCTCAAGAACAATAATATGTAATACAAGGCTCAAACAAGTTCTTTCGAACTTTGTCCAAAAACTCTATTTCCTCCCTCTCTTTGAAATCTTTAGGGAACACAAAATGGAAAGGAGATTTGGGATTGATCAAGCCTTTTTACTTTCTTCATAAGATTTCACAAAAGAAGAGAAGTATATATAGGTGTCATTTGCCATGTGTGGTTACAAGTGTAAGATGATCTCTTTAATGTTCACAAGTCATCTTCTTGAATGAAGAACCATTAAACTCAACATGAAACTTATGTTCAATTAATCTAAACTAATTAAATCATTAAGTTTCAACTTTGTGAAACATTATCTTATTATTACATGCAAATAGATGAAACCTATCTTACATTCATGCATTGTGTAACTCATCAATTTACACTCATGGATGTAATGTATAAACTTCACCTAACACATTTGCATGTAATTCATCTCACTTTTATTTTTAACCAAAATATAACAATCCCTCACTTGGTTAAAATAAAAGTCAACATTATAACCACCATAGTGAAAATGCATAAAATAAAGTATCTTTCGATTTGAACTTTACCTTAGTGTAATCATCACAAAGCCTCGTCGAAATCCCAGGTTTCTTGTAGCATTGAACCAGTTATTCCTTGTGACGAAACCGGTGATAACACACACATTCCACTATTCGGCGAGCACCTATCACTTTTTCTCGCTTAGCACTTTTATGGCCATGTGTTCAATCCATTCATGAACTTTCTTGAGAGAAAACTCCAACTCTCATGAGAAGCGGCACCACTTCTAAGTTCACATAGGTGAAATTCTTACAGCATTCTCGTTACTTAAAATGCTTGTGACACGTAGACTGAATTTCATTAAAAGCTTTATGCTTAACCCTCCAACCGTAACGACCAACATTTTATATCTCAGATGGAACTCCCAAATTTTAATGTTGTTATAATTCACTTATCAACGACTTGTTTTTACCCATTGAACTTAAAACTAATCATTTCTTAGTGTTAAGTTGGGTTGCCATCATTGGTGAATTTATTTAAGGAGTTTTAGTCCCATCCCTCGAGATGTTGTTCTTACTAAATCTCTCGTCAGAGGTTTAGTAAAAGGATCTGCAAGATTCCCACTTGATCTTACAAATGAAATTGATATGATTCCATCTTGAATCAATTGTCTTACAAACTCATGTCTTAGACTAATATGTCTAGACTTCCCGTTATATACTCCACTATATGTAGGGGCTAAAGTTGCTTGACTATCACAGTGTATTGACACTGTTGCAGCAAGAGCTATAAACTCTGCTTCCATAGTTGAATGTGATATACAAGTCTGTTTCTTTGATCCCCAAGAAACAGCTCCTCCTCCCAAAGTAAACACCCAAGCTGTGGTTGATATATTATCTCCCACGCTCGATATCCAGCTCGCATCTGAATATCCTTCAAGTATAACGGGAAACTTAGAATATTGGAGGCTTAGTTCTTTGGTATTCTTTAAATAGCCAAAAACTCTACTAATAGCCTTCCAATGTTCCACGCTTGGATTGCTAGTAAACCTACTTAGTTTACTAATTGCAAATGAGATGTCAGCCCTAGTACACTGTGCAGCATACATTAGACTTCCAATTGCACTTGCATACTCAAGTTGAGCCACCGCTCTACCGTCATTCTTTTCAAGCTTTAAACTTGAATCAAATGGAGTATTAGCATTTTTAATCTTGAGATGATTAAATTTGCTAATTATTTTCTCAATATAGTAGGTTTGGTTTAAAGAATAACCTCCACTATGTTTTTTCACTTTAATACCAGAAATGGTATCAACTTCTCCAAGATCTTTCATCTTGAAGGTTAATGATAGAAACCTCTTCGTTTCCACTATTCCTCTCATGTCATCACTTAAGATTAACATGTCATCCACATAAAAACACACTATGACTATATAGTCATCACAAGATTTAGAGTATAAACACTTGTCAGCGTTATTATGTCTAAATCCATATGAAATAATAACATTATCAAATTTTTCATGCCATTGTTTAGGAGCTTGCTTTAAACCATATAATGATTTAACAAGCCTACACACTTTATGTTCATTTCTCGGTAGAACAAAACCTTCTGGTTGTTCCATATAGACCTCCTCATTGAGATCTCCATTCAAGAATGCCGTTTTGACATCCATCTGATGAACAAATAGATTATGAATTGATGCCAAAGCAAACAATTTCCTAATCGAAGTTGTTCTTGTCACTGGAGCATATGTATCGAAATAATCAATACCTTCTTTTTGTTTAAATCCTTTAGCTACTAATCTAGCTTTAAAGGTTTGAATACTCCCATCGGTATTGTATTTCTTACGAAACACCCACTTGCAACCAATTGGTTTAGATCCTGCTGGAAGATCTACCAATTCCTATGTTTGATTTGATACAATAGAATCCATTTCATCATTGATTGCCTCTTTCCAAAAAGCGGCATCTCTCGAATCAATGGCTTCTTTGTATGTTTTGGGATCCTCCTCCACTTGAAGTATTATAGGAATTTTTCTAATAATATCTTCTCTATTTCCCTCTACTAAACAAAAGGAAATTCTTTGAGAATCAATCTCATCCGATCCCAACAGTTTTTCTTTTCTTTGTCTTTGACTTTTTCTCACCGGCACCAATGGGTTCTCAACAACCGTCATTGGTTCATTCTCTTGATACTCTTCAAGATTAGTAGATTCTTGAGAACTACTCAATAAATTCTCAAAGAATTCTACATCTTTTGATTCAATTATCATATTAGATTCCAAATCTAATAGCCTATAAGCTTTGCTATTTGTGGCATAACCAACAAATGCACACTTTATGGCTCTCGAACCTAACTTTTTTTTGTTCAGGTCCTTTTTCTTGCAATATGCAAGACACCCCCACACTTTGAAGTAACCTATATTAGGTTTCATTCCTTTCCATAACTCATATGGAGATTTTTCAATTTTCTTCATAGGGATTCGATTCAAAATATGACACGCAGTCAACAATGCATCGCCCCACAACTCAAAATTTAATTTAGCATGCAATAACATAGCATTCACCATTTCTAGAAATGTTCGATTCTTTCTCTCTGCTACACCATTATGTTGTGGTGTATATGATGCTGTACATTCATGAATAATGCCATTTTCTACACAAAATAAATTAAATTCATTTGAGAAATATTCACCACCTCTACCACTTCTCAAAATTTTAATCTTTTTACCAAGTTTATTTTCAACTTTGGCTTTGTAAACTTTAAAGGCATTAGAAGTTTCACTTTTGTTTTTCAATAAAAAAACATAGGTAAATCTTGAACAATCATCAATTAATGTAACAAAATACCTATTCCCGCCTCTAGTTTTTACACCGTTAAGTTCACAAAGATCACTATGTATTAAATCAAGCAAATTCGATGATCTTTCCACACTTTGAAAAGGC